AAAAAAACGAAGAAGAATAATTATAAAAATTCATGAAAGAAAAATGATGTTTTCAAGCTCAAATTTGTTATATTTCGTTTTACTAATAAAAAAAAATCCATATAGACGACAAAATTAAAATTGAAATAGCCGAATAATGTAGTAGGTTTATATTCTCAAATCTATATGTCATATACACTGTCATACATACATGAAAATTTACGGTTTAAGAATTGTAATTTCACCAGGTACATTAGAGAACTGAAAAGATATTAATTTTTTGAAATGAACACTATAAGAATTAAAAATGAAGTAGAGATAAAGTGCAATTTTTATTTTAATAACTATAATAAATTATATAACATATAGCTATATAAAAATGTTGTCGTACGGTTTATAATATATGTATATTTTTCTCAAATATAATTATCAACTAGCCCAATGGAATCAAAACGACAAAATCAGCTGTAAGCATGCAATTTGTATTACTCATTTTTTCCATATTTTATTTTGTGGCCTCATTGTATTATTTCATAAGTGCGTGTATATTAAAAATGGCGTGTATACATAATGTGTACATATAATATTATATGCCCAAATTATATTCCATATGAACATATATACATATATAGTTATATACGAGTATATATACTTAAAATTATTTTTCATCAAGCAAAGTATTATTAGTTAGGAATCCCTAAAATAATATCCACATAATATAAATCCTTTCAAATCCTATAATAAAACAGAAAATAGCAATTTTCTTTTTCATTAAAAATTACCTATAAATGAAATCAAAAAACTCAAAGAAAATACTCTTTCAATATAGGGAAAAAAAATTATGTACATAGAGTTACGGATGCTTGTATACATAAAAGAAAATCTTTCAATCTTATTCAGTCACAGTAGCATAAATTTATCCTATCTATTTTGTTATGTAGTTTCACTTTCAATATTATTACTAATGAAACTGAAGAAAAGTATCCTACATACTATACAGTGTATAGTATAGCTGAAATAAATGAATATACATAAATGATTATTAAAATCTTCTTGCTATTAATTTAAAATCCAATTTTCAATGATGTAAACATGAAAATCACCAGATTAAGCCTTATTCCATTTAAGAAAAATTAACTTGGTAAATAAGTACATTATATTATTTTTTTCGGTTAGTTCATAATTTGAAATCTTATTTTATACAAAACATTAAAAAAATATTTTTTTTTAATTGAATTAAGTTTTCAGAAAAAAAATAATTATGAAAATTAAGCTAGTGGAAAAATGTTGAAAAAAATTAATTTTTAAAAAATGAAAATATTTTTGTATAAGTTATTTGTGAATAATTTTAAGGACTTATAGTTGGAAAAATTGAAAAATATCAATTATTTTCTTATTGTATATACATACTTTAATGTTTATTGTAAAAATATAATATTCATAACTCTATTACGAAATCTACAATATGTTTAAAATTAAATATACAATTCAATTTACCTTAAATCTAATTAAATATTTTTCCGAAATAATAAAATATTTCTTAGCAATAAAAAAAAAATCTGATGTGGTCAGCACATAACCGACCGCATTGTGTATTGTCTAGTTAAATGAAAGTGTTACAGAATATTATAAAAATGTCTGTTAAATACTTCTTTCCAATTTTTAGGACATTAGTAAGCTTATAGTTAACATACTTAGAAAAATGTAAATTTGGCTCTTAGTAGAGTTTCGCTTTGTGCTACCCGAATTCCCTGAAATGCTCGCCAGTTAGTTTCGGTAACAACCAGAACTCAAATATCAAATTTCAAGAAATTCCATAAATTTGTTCTGTGGATATGGTGAAAAATGTAAAATCGGCCCGCAAATCAGTTCTCGAGCCCTGATCTTTCCAAAAATGTTATATGTTCATTGCTTTAATATGAGGAATTCATATATTAAATTTCAATGAAATCGGTTGATTTTTTCTTTTTATATACACAAAAGTGTATGTTTGGCCCGTAGTAAACGTCTAGTTGCCGATGCCTGATCTTTCCAAAAAATTTACATGTTCATTGTTTTAATACGGGGAATTCATATATTAAATTTCAATGAAATCGGTTGATTATTTCTCTTTATATACACAAAAATGTATATTTGGCCCGTAGTAAACGCCCAGTTGCTGATGCCTGATTTCTTCTAAAAGTTAGGAATTTTTGCGTATGATCGAGCAAAGCTTATATATGAAATTTCAAGTAAATTGGTTGAATACTTTCTTCAAAATGGTGAAAAATGTAAAATCGGCCCGCAAATCCGTTTTCGAGCCGTGATCTTTTCAAAAAATTTATATGTTCATTGTTTTAATACGAGGAGTTCATATATTAAATTTCAATGAAATCGGTTGATTATTTCTCTTTATATACACAAAAATGTATATTTGGCCCGTAGTAAACGTCTAGTTGCCAATGCCTGATTTCTTCCAAAACATACGAATTTTTGCGGACGGTCGAGCTGAGCTTATATATAAAATTTCAAGTAAATCGGTTGAATATTTTCTTCAAAATGTTCAAAAATGTAAAACAGGCCCGCTAAAAAGTGCAGTTCCCGAGGCCTGATATATACCAAAAGTTGATCGATCCGTGCCATGGTGGAAACAAACTTACATATAAAATTTCATCAAAATCGGTTCAGCCGAACTTGAGATACACGCGTGCACACACAGACCGACAGACCGACAGACCGACAGGTTGCTAAAAATAGTTTATTTACACTTCCCTACTATGGAGAAGTACGTTCCCACCGAAAACTCGATATGCAAAATTTGTTGCCATCACATAACCTACCTATTGTTTACACAATACGGTCGGTAAAAATGTGAGTATAAAAAATTTTAAATTAAAGAAATTTTTTTTTTTAATTCTGAAGTACATACACAAAAACGATACTCGTATTACTAATTATTATTATTTACGAAAATTTCTCTACAAGACCTAAGTATTCTTCGATGAACGATGAAAGCAAAATTTGCAAAGTAAATTTTTTTCTCGCTCTGAGCAATATTACACTCACTTCGAGTAAATTTACCATTAAATTGTGTGAACTTAATTCCAAAATTTTTAATTGAATAAAGTTTACTCTTATCCCTAAAAAATTAATAACAAAACTAAAATAATTCATCAAATTTTATTAGCCTTTTATTTAATAGTTATAATTTGAAAATTCTTGAAAATTTTTGCTGTAACACTTTTTTCACAAAATGAAGAATAAAATGATCACATAATTATTTTATTTTTTATGAATTTTATAAATATTTATAGCCAAAAAAATTTTTATCACTTAAAAATTTTCATAATTAATATTGAAAAATCAATAATAAACCTAAACTTATAAAAATTCTTTATTATCAAAATTAAGGAAACCATTATGTTCTCTTATTGCCAATATTATTTCAGAGGTCAATAGGTTAATATTTTGTTGACTTTTGACATATATAAACATACTTTTTGGTAATAATAGATTACACATTTACATATTATATACATATACTCGTATTAATTATTATTAATAAAGCCTTTCTCTTTTCCTATATTTAATGCTCTTTATTTACTTATTTGTATACACGCATAATGAATATTTACAATATATTCAAATAATAATATTATTATATATAAAATAAATTGTTGTTTAGAAAATCAAAATTTGAACTATGAAAATTTTACGATATAAAGTTGAGAGAAATTGACAAAAAGGGAAGCAATAAAAATTGTTAATTCTACCGAACTGTCATAAAAATGACTGAGATTTAAATATGTACTTTTTGTTAAGACTACTTGGCTATTATGCCTATGTTATAAAAATTATTTGATTTTTTGTTTTTTATTCAAGTAATAAAGAATAAAGAAAAATGTCTCCTTGAGTTTGTTTAAATAAACTTACAAAAACAAAAATCAAATATTTAAAGTATCTAAAGAAAGGATTTTTAAACAAGTTATTCTTAAAAGTTTAGTGTTTGAGTTGAGTACATTTATGCGAATAGAGTGTTACTGAGGTCACTGATTTTAAAAAATTGAACAAATTTTTTAGAATATTATTTATATTATAACATTTTGAAAATTTATACAATATTCTATAAGTCTATTTCCGTAAACTTGTCAGAATTGTGAGAGTTACATTTTACGTTGTAAAATAGTAGAACCTGATAGCCTTCTTGACCTGCTGTACTTTAATAGTCTTCTCAGACTTCACTCTATTCTTTCTATTCTATATATATCATTCTCGCACAAACAAAACTTCTTGTTGATAGGGTGTTAATAATTAATAATGAATTTGAATCGCGTTCTTTGTACAGCTAGACGAATAGTAGTATAAAATCACAATCACAATTTTTATCAGTTTTATTTTAAAAGTTATTTGTAAGATAATGATTTCCCTTTATTTTACAGCTAGACTGTAATATTGTTATGTATTTACATGTACTTATATTACATATTATATACTGTATATGTAGAGGAAAGAACAGAAAGAAAATTACCAGATTTTTTAATAAAAATTTTATTTCTTGGCTATAATAAATTCAATAATTTATCAAAAACAAGAAAAAAAGGAAAATTCTTTTTTGCTTTGTCAATAAATAAAAAAGACTAACGACAAAAAAGTTAATTTTTAATTTCTTTGCGAAATTTCTTTCACCCATAGAAAAAAAATTTAGAGCAGCTTATGAAAATTTATAAGTAGAATTAGTTGTTTAAATACTTTATATATGTTAGTATATTATGTATGTAAGTATTTTTGTATATCACTAAATTGTATTGTATAATTAAAGTTTTAATTTTCACAAAAAGCAAAATTAAAGTTTATTGAATTGATTGAAATGTGAAATTCTTTCTGATTGATGTTGCTGACAATAAGAATTTAACTTTAGGTTTCTCATACTTACTTTTCAAATAACATAATATACATAGGTAAATATTTATTATATGAAATTTTATTATATAAATTCAAATGAAGTTTCGTTATACTATTTAATTGAAAATAACATAACGTACCTCACTTCTTGTTCGGATTTTGCTAACATCCAATATACTTTTGAACGTTTTCTTCTAGAACCGAGTGCTATTAATTGTGATACACTACATCCTTCAGGTAATGGTGGTCGTTTTGGAATTTGTCCAGTCCAATGTGCTATTGCTAACATTTCTGGTGCTTCCTTAACCAATATTTTTCCAGAAGGTGATGAACGCCCTGGTTCCTATAAAAATTAATAAACAAATTAGAGATTGTTTTGAACAAGATGTTGGTGAAATCTATAATTATATTTTTTAAAAAATCCTTTGTCATAATGTTGCAAACCTCTGGATAATAATTAGATCAATTTCATTATTTATATGTATATATATATTTTATACTATTATGACCCTTTATTATCTATTTAATTGCAATTAATGCTTATATACTGGAAATAATTATTAATGTTTATAAAGAATATGGATATTAGGAAAAAATGATAAATTGTCTGTAAATTTAATTTTCATTTTACTCAAAAGGGAATTCATCAAATGTATGTATGTGTATATATATATATTTTATACTCATAAACAATTTTTATATTAAATTCATAATAAAATATTTTTTATTAAAATTCATATGCAAAGTTTATATTTTATACAAGTATTCTTATATATAATATAACATGTATGTATGCATAATTAAGGGTTATACTCCTGTAAAAGGGTCATATTTTATTTTATTCAATTAATTTAAATTTTTCTGGTATTATTTTGTAACCATCAGAAAACACAGGTGACGGTTATTTAAAAAGTGGAAAAAAATTACATAATACACATACATACATATAAAACTCTAATTCGTTTTTTAAAACCCAATTAAACTCAAACGCTTAACAACAGTATATGACGATATATTATTTATTATATGTATGGGTATCTACATTTCATTTACATAAAACTATATACAAATTCTTATTAAAACATTATTTTCTATCTTATTCTTTCAAATGCCAGTTGTTTCACATCAATTTCGAACGATATTTAAAACATAAATTTTTTATATAGTCTTTGTATATCAAATCTAAAATATTAATTTAAGGTAAATATTTGTATTTATTTCTACATTTTTAATATTAACGAACTATATACTACAATATTTAAGCTTTTTGCTTTTCGGAATGTCCGTGAAGTTATAATTCTTAGATCCTAAGAGCTGTAATTAAGCACAAGATTGCAACATTTTATGCAGTTAGCTTTACAATTTTCCAAATATTTAATATTAGTTTTTGGGGTTATGTATAAGATAAATTGTGATTGCATGCATGTTCATAAAAGTGCGCATTGATCTCTTTATCAGAAAAATTATCTCTTTGTAAAATATGGCGTGTCCAAAATACACAATTTCCGCCTTTAGCCGTTCCGTTTTTCCCTTATCATGCGTCCCGACGTTTAGATGGACAGGGATATATCTAAATTAATATAAAATTTTATGCTACTTAAAAATAAACATTTTCAATATAGGTTCACATTGCGAACGGTTCCTTCAAGCGAATAGAATGATGCAAAATTTTATTCTAAAGTTAAAATGTAATTTAATAACCCGTAAGTTTGTAAAGTAAAAAAATTAATAAAAAGAAATTGAAGCTAAGAAATAGACATGATTTGTGAAAAAAGTTTTAACTATTCACAAAGCATTATGCAAGAACATGCAGGATTCTACTAAATCGAAAGAGAGACAAAATATTTTCATTTTTTGTTCACAAATCACACTGCTTTGTGGGTGCCATCATATATGTTAATTTTATAAAATCTCAAGGAGCAGATAATTTTCTCATATCTCGAGAATTGTAGAAGTTAGTGATCAAATTTTCATTGCCGAAAACAATAACAGTAGCTGTATGTTATTTTACCAATCTCACTGAGTTAACACGGTCAACTTGACCTTTTGTTGTTTTTATTCATATTTAATTATTAATTCGAATATCTGCAGAGAAACATAGAAGTTTTTTATAAAAATTATTCAAAATTGAATAAAATATTTTTGCCAGGAAACATTTAATTTGTGATTTTCTGTTCTTGTCATATAAAGCTGTCAGACCGATTATTATCCGTGTTAACAACATTAATTCTTCATTCGTTTTTTTCATTTACCTTTTTTTTTGGAAAAAAGGAAACCTATAAAATAAAATTATTAGAGAAAATTTATAAATTTATGTTTGCACAAAATTGCCCTTTATACACAAGGGATCAAACATATTTTGCAAAGTATTTTTTTCCCGTACACTTCATTTTTGTTGTTTTTATCGGAATACCTAAATTACTTTACGAATTTTTGGTTTATATAAATTTTAAGTCCCGAAATTCTAATATTTTATAAAATATTCGACAACAAATTTTAATATTTTAGTTTTACTTCCCAAAAAAAAACGAAAAATAAAAAAGAAATTTTTTAATAATAAAAAAAAAAGGATCAACATACCCAATACAATAAAATGGTTTTTCATATATGCATTGATACATACATATATATACTTCATAATGTTAAGAAATGTATGTTATGTTGAAAGTTCATAATTGATGGAATCTGAGAAGGGATTAACATAAACGATGAAATTAAAAGAAAAAGAGAAAAGGAACGTGAAAACAAAGTAAACAATTTCGTAAAATTAAAATTATATTCGCACCGCACCTGTATTAATTACTAGACTTGAAAAATTTTGAAATTAAAGGATAAAATTTTTAATTGCGTCATACAGATACACAGGTATGTTTATTATGTGATGTTTTATAAAATTCTCTAAGAAAATTAATAAAATTTTTAATCATTCAACTTAAATTTTCATATTGGACCATAACTAAGCAATTAATCGCATTAATTAATTAGAAAATTCCTGGCACGTTATTTAACCGACAATAAACAGTGTAGCGACGCCGAATGACGCCGGCGAATTAATGTTTTTTATACGACTCTTAAATTTAAACAAAATTATGGTAAAAAAGCAGCATTTAAATATTTCCGCATCCGAATTTAAAAAAAAAATTGAGGCTAAAGTATTTCCAAATTATTTTGAGCCTAAGCTCAAAATTCTATAAGTTTCTATTCTGTAAAGTCAATAAATTGTTGCTTAAAGCATAGCTACATGTATAACAGTTGATTATCGTATAAAGTAACCGTAATAATAAAATTCTTTTACAGAAACTTACCGTGAACCAGGCCATGGTAGAGTCATCGTAGAGGACCACCCATTCTTCTGACCATCGATTCCATAAAAGTTGCTCTAAAATAATAAAAATATAATAACATATAAAAAAAATACCAAAATACAAATTTGTATGTGGTTTTTAATATTTAAATTTAGATCTAAAAGAATCATTTGCTTTCAATTTACGCAGAATAAATTAACAAAATTAAAAGTTGTAAGAAAAAAACATTTTCAAATTACTTATTCACATTATTAAATTCCATATAGGCTTATAAAAAAAATTTTATGATATTATTTTTTTGTTGCTTCATACGTGGAATTTTTCTACATACATAATATTATATTAAAAATGAGGATAATCAAATTCTGTAGACATTTTATGTTGGGAACAATTTCCTAAAGAATACAGAGGATTAAGATAAACGATTATTCAAATGACATAAATTCTTTTTTATAATATTATTTAGAAAATTAACCTTGACTCTTCAAAAATGAATAATAAATCATAATTCACTTTTGAGGAAAATGAAAAATGAATTTTTGGAAAATAATTTTGCTGTGGCTAAAATTATAATAAGAGTAAAAAAAGCACTCACATTTACTCGTATCTCGTTTTATTTATAAATATTTCAAAAAATTTGATTTATATTTATTTAGTATAATAATTTTACGCAAAAAAATAATATTATGTACTTTACTTGGAGTTAATTGAAGTTAACTTAAATATCTCACGTATGAATACATTTATTGGGTTTTTTTGTGCAAAAATTTTAACCTTGATTACAAATAATTTATTATTATTAACACTAATGAGACAAATAGGCAATTTGTTGAGCACAAATACTAATAACTGGTTGAACATAAGCGGTAAATACAAGGATGCATTATTTATATTAAATGTAAGATATGTAATAAATTTGCATTATAGCCAAGAAATTATGTTTCATATTTAGTAAAATAATGAGCCAATCGATTTTTTAATGCAAATTTTGTTTTACGGAATGAAAAAGTTTGTATCCTGGAAAAATAAGTATTTTGTTCTGGTCGATTTAGGTTCTAAACATTCTATTATCTTGCAAGCTAATATAATTGAATTTTTCCCAAAAATAATAAGAAGGGAAACCAAATTGTAGAAAATATTTTAAAAAATTCGGTGCAAACATTTTTTTGCAATAGAAATAGAATATCGAATAGTTGTAAAAGTTCGAAGTGTTAGCATTCTTACTTTATTCTGCCTCACATTCTTACTTTATTCGATACAATACGAGTATAATAATATGTAATTATTAAAAAAAAATTCACATTCTGTTAAATTCCAACTGCAATTCATTAAAAATAAATATTTATATGTATGTATATGTTTATAATTCGAAATGTCTGTATTTTTAAATACATATACCTTTGCACATAACAGTATTTTTATGGAATGTTTTTTTTGTAATAAATTTTTCCATAAAAATTCTTAAACAAATCATGTATAATGATAAAAAAGAAAGGATAATAATCTGGATAAGAATTGTGCCTGATATCCTGAAATCCTTTCGGTTTAATTAAAACAATAAATTTTCATTTGACTAATTGGAAGGATAGGTATTATTCCCAAAGGAAATGCAATATTTTCTTTTTGGATTTTTCCCCTTTTATCATGAGTAAAACTATATGTTTTTTTCCGCAAAGATTTGAAATTGAATTAAAAAAAATTTTTTTTTAACTTTTAATACAAAATTAGTGAGAAAAACCAATAATTTTCTTTTTTTTTTAAATATTATAATAGGATAAGAATATTATGTTATTATAAAGATGGATTACAAATATTTAACCAAAATCCCTTGATTATACCCGTACAAATGTATGTTCAAAGGATATTATAATGAAGTCCTTCCGTCCGCCCATCGCAACGATAACTCAAAATCTAATTGAGCTCATCTCACCAAATATTGACAAATTTTATTAATACTAGTAAATGCTTGGACCCAATTTTAATTGGGTCTGACCGAGGCAGTGATTCGGTTAGCTGTCCTACAACTTAAAAATAATTTGGCTATATATTAAATATTACTAAAGATATTACAGTGAAGTTTCGCATAAGCAAATAATATTATTGTGGTAATTAAAAACAATGTCGACATTTATTAACTCCTTTCGGTGGCTTCCATAAAATATCAGTAATTATTTTAAAAACTACTTTACGTACAGTATGAAATTTTGTATAAACAAATATAGTAACACAACATTTTCGGTAAAAGTTATTCAGACCTTACGTTGAGCGCTTATAATAGTTGTCAAAAAAATTTCAGAAAGTTATTTTTCATCATCGCAAAAGTAATTACACCTATAATGTACGAGTACAAATTTCGAGTATATTGTTGTCTTAGCAGCTTTTCTTATCTTTATTTTAAAAATGATAAAGTTTTGTACTCTTTTGGGCCAAAATAAGAAATTTAAGAAAATTAGTAATTTATTAAAAAAAAATTAATTTTTTTGTTACTCGTAATTTTAGTTTTCAACAAAAATTTTAAAATTTTTAAGAGAAAATTAAAGCAATTTTTTTTAATGATTTTATAAAATAATAAAAGAACAGCTGCTGACGATTTCTAAATTTAAATTAATAAAATATTTTCATACAAATTTTTCTATTTTTTGTTTTTTATTCGCAAACATTTTTTTTTTCCAACAAAATACAACAATTTTCATAATCAACGAATATGCAGTAACAATTTTAAACTTTTATGCTTTTCCTCTTTTAACTAAAATTAACAAAACTGAAAACACACTGTTAAACAAGACTTTACTAATTTCTTTTGTGTTTTCTCTTTATTTTTACTTTTTTTTTTTTTGATTCTTTGATTGCCCCTTAAAGCTATAAAAAAATTTTCCGACAAAATAAAAGAAGAAAAAAAAAATTATGTGTTTACCATAGAATTTTACAATATGCCCAATAAAAAAGAGTGTTATTAGTTTCAAAATAATTTTTATAAAAAGTTAAATTAACATTGAAAAAAAAAAAATTGAATAGCTAGCTAAAAAAATTTTTTTAAATCTAATCAAAAATAAAAATTTTTTCAATATTGAACTTATGACTTCCATTTGGTGGTTAAATTTTAATTTGTAACAAATGCTTTATTATTTTTTATTATTATATAAAACGAATTGCTTAGGCCAAGCATCAATTATCATGCAAGTTAATATTGCATGAAAGAGCAGAAGCAACCATTATTTAAACGCACAAAAATACAACATCAGATTGCCTGGCAAAACCGTCGTCATTTAATGAGAATGGAAAAGCAAATGGTAGAGGGTAAGTAAGGGTTAGAGTTTATTTAAATAATCATAGTTAGATTTTTTAATCTTCTAATAATTTTGTAAGAGGAAATTTCATCAGCAATTATATTTATAAATTGTAGAAAGAGCTAACTTAGTTTTGGTTAAAAGTGTAATATTATTAAAACCGTCAATAACTTTTATATGGTATATTATGTATTGTATAACGTATGTGCTATACATAAAAATTTCTTGCATATGTTAAGGCGTACCATTATCAAAATATAGAAATAGAAATACTAAATAATATTGTTATAGAAAACTTTGAAGATATTAAGAAAGTCTGACGGAGAAAATTGTTATGATGTATTTTAAAAGTTTTAAATAAAATGTATAAAAGTTTGTTTTCAAAGAATTTGAAATTTTTATTAAAGTTATAGTAAAGTTATTATGCAACCATAAACAAAATTTTTACATTAGCAACTTTTTGTTTTATATTCTGTTTGTAATTTAACTTTTATCTTGCCTTTTATTCATAAACACTATATAAATTTATTTTACACCATATTAAAAGTATTTAAAAGCAGTTCTCGTTTTGCCAAATATGAAACGATGATTGCAATTTTAAATAGTTTTAAATGCTTTAAAAGTTTTTATTTGTATACGAAATAAGGTTATTTTGTGAGATCAAGTTTTCTTCATTGAGAATGTTGGAAAACTACTTACAAAATATCAAATTTTAGTGCAATATGCCCAAATTTTGAAGTTAAAGAACATAATGTTAAACTAATAAATTAATAGCCCGATATGCCAATTAAGAACCTTAACTCATTCGCTGTCAAGGGCTTTTTTTCATTTTGTCCCCAGGTGCCATTTCTTAACTTTTATCTTGTATTATAAATTATGAAGTAAAATTCTAAAAAGAACTACAAAGGACCTTTAGAACTTATTCTAGAATGTAATCATCATCATCATCTGAAAAATCGTTGTCACTTGATGAGTTAACAGTATCAAAAAAATCTTCTAAATATTTTTCTTCTGTATCTTGATGGTTACCCATTTTTTTTATCAAAAACTCCATCAATTGAACACGAATAAATTTAATTTGCTTGAATAATACCACAGTAAATACAAAATTTACAGGAAATTCTTTAAAAATAAACAAAAATATAGATTCGAACCTCAAATAACCTTTAATCTCGAAAAACTGAGCACTACTAAATTTTATAAAATTCCATTACAAACAAAATTGCATTCCAAAACAAAATAAATTTTCGGGACTTTCCCTTTATGCTCAAACTAACAAAATTTTCTTTCAAGTAAAATGAACTTATTCCTGTGCCAAAGTACAAAAATAAATTAATTTAGCTGTGCCATATTAATTTTAAGTAGAAGAAACATTCCTGGTTTTAACCACGAGCTATATCGTAGTGGTATATTTTAAGAGCATTTTACTACGAGATATCTCGTAGCTGGCAGTGAATGCGTTAAACACTAAAATTTAAAATTTTAATTTTTTCAAGTGTGAGTATAATTAATTGTGAGTATAATTGAATTGTAACAGTGAAGAATAATAAATTAAAATTGCCTCTATTTCTGCTAATATTGCTCTAAAAAGCATATTTTAAAATTGGGAGAATATTTTAAATTTGAAAACTCTTACTATGGATACATGTGTAAAATCATATTGAAATCATTGACCTAAATAAAATAAATAAAAAAAAGTGATTATTGGCGGCACAAAAAGGAATTTCATTTTTAATGAAGAAACTTTTTAATTTAATTTCAATTAATTTTTTTTTATTTTTTTTTTCGCTTTGTGTTTTCATGTAAATATACATATGTATGTAGTTTTGACGAAGAATGTTTTTCATTTCATATACTGTATATGCCATACTTGCACGTCTTATTATGAATACGAAGGTTTTTTATAAAAGAGTTTTTGAGAAAAAATATATAAATTAATATTATTATAAATAGAGCACGTTTTTCCAATATAATATTAATTGCTTTTTTCCTTCATAATTGAAAAAGAACTGTGTGTAAGGATTTAATTTTAAGCGATATAATCTTGAAGGTTCAACATCATACGGTGGCAATATATTATGCGTAGAATGAACTTTAAAACTGCAAATGCAATAAAATAAATACCAAACCATACTTATAAAGCATGGCATGATTGTGAAACTTCTTAAACTTCAAATAATTTTCAATTTAAAAATTTTCAATAAAATTTAGTCAATATCATTATGATTTAATTAATTTAATAATTTTTGTTTTCGAAAATTATTACCATATGTAAATTAGAAAATATTTCAAAACTTGATAATAAATTTAACACAAAACTCTTAAAATTCTCAATACATAGACGCAAGTATTAAAAAAAAAAAACCATAATATAAAAAGTTGAAAAATTTCAAAAGGATTTAAGAAAACTATTTTATGTCATGTACTACAAAAAAAAAAACCTCCTAATTCCTAATAGAAATTTATAATTTATAAATACGAAAAACTTTCAATCTTGTTATAAAAATAAAAGAAGAAAAAAAAAACGATTTCGAAGGCAAGAAAATATCATTATCTTTTTATTTGATTTTCTTATAACTTTCCCCTGACGATGGTACAATTTTCATCATAAAATTTCATTGTATATGGTATATTACGAGAAAAAAAAAATTATTCTTTTTTTTCCCAATTTCCTTAAATTTTGCTTGATTAGTCTTTTGAGCATAAAATTTGAAATTGTCCTTTTCTGCTTCTTTTCTTTTCTTAAGTTCAATTACAGTTTTACACCCTATATAATATAATATTACAGTCTTAGTATATTTGTACATTTCTCTTAAAATTTAATACTTAATATTTAGTATATAATATTATATACATATTGTATTATATATGTCTAATATTATAATGTATATAACAAAATTTTACATAATGAATAAATTTACTTATTGTAAAAATGAAATAAAAAAAAACTTTAATTTTATTAGAATAATTTGCATATTTAACAGAAAAAAATTTTAACGAATAAATAAATGAAAAAGAAAGAGAGAGAAAAAGAGAAAGCGCGAGTGAGATAAAATAGAAAAAAATAATTGTGGTCGAAGGAGAAACATATTGTATAGGACCATTAAATTTAAGGAGCATAATTTTGTCATTCGTTGCTAATGAGTTTTTTGAACAACATTAAATATCAAGACTTTTTTCTGTTTATTTTTTTTTTAATTACAAGTGAAGCTGGAAAAGAAATTCAACTAAATTTGAAATTATATTAGCGTTTTTTTACCAATCGCCATCGCCTATATTATGGGACGAACTATGATGGCATCCAGTTACCACAGAATTAGATTCGCTAAGATTAAGCTAAGACATCTGTATGTAGACCTGTATCATGATTTTGATTTTGATTTTGACACATAATATGAAATGAATTCTATAGAAATCACATCATTTTAAAATATTTCACATTACTACAACTGAACCTTTACTATACTATGGTCGAGCATTTTTAGGCATTTTTAGGCAGTCAGGAAATTAAATAGTTTTTTGAAATTTAAAATATTTCCAATGAAATATTTACAACAATCTACATCTTTTCTCAATATATTAGTATGTGTTGTGCCACTTTAAATTGTCGTTGAGTGATATAGTGCAAATGTATTATAGATTAAAGATTGAAGTATTAAAGATAATATTTTCAATGGTTAACAAAAAATTTTCATTACATTCACTAGCTTGAGGATTTTCTGAAGGTGATTTAAAAATAAAACTGTCTGCTTATTATTGGTTACAATACTTGAGTTTTTTCTAGAGAGCAAATTGATTTTTTTTTTCAAAGTTTTGTGCTAATATAGATAATAATTTATGTTATTTAAATTAGCCCATTCTTGTTAAAATAAAAATGGGCTAATCATTTTAATTCTATTGAAATTAATATTATTACAGCCATACTTACTTTTCCAGCGAAGTAAATATCCGCCTTTGATCTGTTTTCCAACAGTACCTGAAATAAAAAAAAAAATAGTTTTTAAAGTTGAAGTTATCAAAGGAATAAAAAAATTTCTTTAAAAATTTTTTTTTGATTTCAATAGGTTAATGGTTTTAATAAATTATAAGTTGAGCACAATTGTGGCAACTTATGTAATAATTGAGATTTGCTTAAGTTCTATCAAAGGAGTACTTTCCTCTAAAATTTCTTTAAGTTGGCAGCATTTTATCTACACAGAGAATTTACTATTTCAAATTATTTTTGAAAAACAATAGAAATTGATAACAATATTGAACTTTAATTTCCGATACTAATAAAAATATTATATTGTTACTTATATAATTTTAATACACTCTATTTTTTTTCAAAACTCAGCAATAAAAATCCTTTTCAATTGTAAACGTATTGGCAGTAGATTCTAAATGCAAAACTAACACAATGAACTAAAAACGATAGCAATCATTTTATTGAGTAAGTTTAATTTCCTGGACGCGGCTATGTCATAAGGTCATTCTTTTCAATAAGTGAGCGTAAAAAAAAACTTTCTATAGATTTTTATAAGCATTTAAAAGAAAAATGGGGAAAAAATTCTCTTATCATTTCCTTTCTTTTATTATCCTGCTCCTACACTATATTGAATGAGAAAATATACATTTTTATTCATTACATGAATTATATTTTTTCTCGTTGAAAATTTTAAACATTCACTTAAACATTATACATAACACTCGCCGCTTTGTTTTTTCAAGTAATTCTACGCTATTATTGAAGAACAAAAAAAAATAAGTGTACATACATATACATATATACAAAGTCATAGCTTATATAACACTCGGTACAAGCCATTTTTAAGCAACGTAAGTAGATATTAGTTTTGCTATTGTTTTACTTTTGATTAAAGTAAATTTTCCGCCCACATTTTTCTAGTTTATTTTTTCGCTATTAAAATCGAGGAAATATAAAATTTTCGCTGTCATTTTCAATTTTAATTTTTTTCATTTATTTTTTTTTAATATAAAAAAATATTTTTTTTTTGTTGTAGTTCGCGTTTTTATTATCATCTGATGAAGTCCTTGAATTGACCCAGTTTTTCTCTCATTTTTTGCTTTTCTAGTTTTTATCTATATACTTTATAGAATAGTGTCCATTTGATTTATGTATATATATATGTGTATACTATAGAGAATAACTATTTTAATTCTTTATACAATCATATAAAATTAAGTCATAAATATGGATTTTACTTTTGCTGAAAGTTTTACAGAATTTTTCCTCAAAATTCTAATTTTGCAACAAAACCGCAAAAATGTAGATTTCATTTAAAAAAGGATTAAATAAATTGTTTACGCGTTTAAAATTAAAAAAATTTGAAAGGTATGAAAATATTTTTAAAATAAATTTTTTGATAAATTACAATAATAAAATTTTTAGGAACTAGCATGAACAGTCGAAATTTCTATTTTAATAAAAGCGATGATTACTAAAATTCTGGTTACAACTGAAATTCGTTATTCTCAGTTTAATTTATTGGAATCCTAGAATATAAAGAAAGAAGTCCTCTTTTACCTGCAAAAATATTGCCATATACGTTTCCACTCGTAAATAAAATTCTGCAGAACAAGTTGATTTCTTGCAGGAATTATTGCTTTTTTCGAATTTAAGCTTTTTTTGTTACGCATGTTTTGCTACTTATTCCGTTTTACAAATTTTCCCATACCTACGCATTCGAATTGGTTCTGGAACTTCAAAATTAACTATTTTCAAAATTATATTAATTAAATGTACTTAACTACTTCAACAGCTATTGTTATACACTGCACATTTGGTTTGCCAAAGTTTGAGTTATTGTGCCTTCGAAATAAATGTCAATAATAAAAACAATGTCTAAAATAAAATTTTTTGTTATACACTAAAGTCGGAAGGGACTTATGGCCAACATTTTTTCAGTCTAATTGCTTAAAAAAGGGAAATGGAAATTAATTTTTGTTTTTACGAAAAAATTTTTGAATAAAACCAAAAAATAAACAAAAATATTTTTTATAAATTTTTTGAAATTTAAAAAATTTCCAATCGATATTAATAGTTTTTACGGTTCGGTTCACTCGAGCTATTCTGAACAGATAGAAAATGAAAAATTTAAAAAAATATATTTAGTTAATAACATTATATGCCTTGTATTAGTTTATATTTTCAGTATACCAGTTATTGCTTTGAACGTTTCAAAATTTTAGTTTTTAATTAAAAATTGCAAAGTATTTTTAAAAAAGTTTCAAAAACGAAAAAATCTTTTATAACCGAATAACGCTTGCATTTTACTTATAAAAAAAGACTAGCTCGAAGAGGCTCAGAACTCTATATTTTTTTTTGTATAGATATTCTGTTATATTATATTATATGTTATATTATAAAGGAATTCCATACATGAACATTTGTATGTAATTACTTCTCTTAACCAAATTGTTGTGGGCATAGCTTTATGTAGTAAGCTCCTTGCGCTATTATTGTCTAAGTACAAATATACAATTTCTGAAATTTCGTTAAATTATTTCACCAAGTTTCAACAAAATTTCGTATTTTTCAATTCCAAAAACGTGTAGGAAAAAAATATTAAAATTAATTTAAATAATTTTAGATTTTATTTCATTATAATTTTTAATGGGATTTCCCTATAAAGCAAAAGAAACTTAAGACCTTAGAAAATATAAAAACTTTTTTAAATTTTGCAATTATTTCTAATTTATAAAAACTTTAGACGGAAAATTAAAAGTAAAATTTCTTTAAAAAAAAAATAATGGCTCATTAAGAAAAAAACAAAAAGAAAACAAGAATACTCATTGGCTTCATTCATTTTATAAAAAGTTACTCATATTAATTATTATAATTTCTAAAGAAAAAAAAAACTAATTAAAGTGAATTACGAAAAATTCCAAGAGATTCAAGTGCATAAAGAAAATTAAAATTATTGGGAAAATCAATTAAAAAGTGCAATTTTCTTCTTATAAAAATAAAAATTTATTATTGTTAAAATTAAATTATTTTCAAGTTGATGTTAAACAAAATATTTTTGTGAAATTTATAATTTAAAATAATTGATTTAAAACTGGAACTAAGTTAATAAATACGCTAGTGTTTCATAATAACTAATTTGCTAAGAAACAGATAATAATTATTTTAGTGTTTATCATTTCAAATAGATTGTGGTTTGACACAGACGAAAAATCTACTACTAATTATGTATCTTAGAAATTGTGCTCATAAATGGTCTTTTATTTTCAACGAAATGAGGCAGAGTTTAAGAAATATAGAAAATTTAAGTCTCAGGAGTACTTCTTATTATATAGAAGGAAGATAAAATTAAAAATTTTGTGGAATAAAAATATTTTTATATTTATAAGCTTTTTGTTTTAAATTTTTATAAAATCGACATTCAATGTAAGTGTAATGTGCAAAATAATCTAGAAAAACTAAATTTTGCAACGCAACTAAATTTTGAAATCTTAGCAAAATAATCTACATAATGAAACTTGCATATTATATGTTAAAAAGTGTCATCATACAAAACATTTAATCCTTGTACATTTCAACATTATAACAATTCATCATTATAAAGTACTTCATCACTATAAAGTGCATTTTGCAAACATAAGTGCATGTAGGTGTTAATTAATATTATTATGAATATACTGACCAATTTCGGTGACATGTTGATGCAATTTCCAGTTAAAAAAATTGTTGTTGTGTGTTTGCAGTGACTAAAGCATTTAAATTAACTTTTATTTTTTAATTTAAAAAAAATTGTCTAGACTAATTACTACAGATTATTATTATATAAATTTAGCTTTAATAATCACTTTACCTGAAAATGCTCTATAAGAGATGTTGTCAGTTCGAAAGTTAGCTAAGAATTAGAGAACTGGTGCTGTGCACTGAGGGTAAAGCAAATCATAATCTGATAAGAAATTTCTTTGTTAGGCCAGTTTTTCTGTGATCATAAGATCACAGGCATCTCAGTGATGAAATGTTATGGTGGTGCTATAATGTTGAAATGTGCAATGATGAATTTCAATAATGATGAAATGTTGAAATGTATCGTATGATTACACTTTTAAACATATTAAAATATGCAAGTTTCATTATGTAGAACTTTTGTTTAAAATGAGATATCAGGGAACCATGTTGAAATTACCTTGCGTTTAGTAAACAAATCAATGCAAAGTTAAATGAAGAATAAATACTGTAATTTTCTATCTTCTAAAGTTACCTCTAATAGAAACGGAACTTTAAAATAATATAAATACTTTCATTTATTTTAAATAAGTAATATTGTGAATATATTTTTCATAAAAACATTGCATACTTACAGGCAAACCTTCAATATTATACTCGTATGGTATTAAATTAATTCGAATAACACTCTTTTTGAAAAGAAAAATGCATTTTTCATTTTAAAGTCTTATATCAAAATTTTCCTTTTTGCGAGAAATTCAATATAATAACACTTTTTAGTGAAATGAAAATATTATAAGTGCATATGAAAAACGTTATTATTGCTTCAATTCTTTGAAAATGTAGAAATATAAAGATGATAAAATTTTCTAACAAAAGAACAAATAAAAATATTGTTTATTTATTATTAAACAAGAGTATTTGCTTTTCTCTTTTCAAATAATAAATTTTATGTTTAACCTTTTTTGAAACGATATTTCAAAAGAATCTTCAAAACAATGCCATTTTCTAAATTATTTATTTGTACATACAATACACACGTATAAAGTTTTAATAAAAATATGAAAAAGAAATTAAAAATTCTGGAATTTTTAAGCAAAAACAAAATGTGACGTTTTGAAATCTAGAAGGGATTATACAATAAGGCAACAATTTTTGTGCATTTTTGTTTATTTGAAGACGTATCTGCATGATATCCTGTATACCATGATATACTCATGTAATTATATTTTTTTGTAACATATGCAATGACATTTTAAAGAACGAAAATGTATATTTATTGATTTAAA